TGCATAATTATTTTCCTGGAACATTTTCTTTCTTTAAGCCTTCCCCTTCTTGTAGCATGGTACAGGTGTTGACAGAAGTTCTGTTTTTATTTTTTAATGTATAGATAAGCCAACCTGTAAACCAACCCTGAAGATAAAAGTGCTTGCATCAGAATGCTTTTAAAAATGGTACAAGTTGGGAATTCAAGGCCACCTACATTGCATCTTAAATATGCCTATGGATGGCACACATATTTAAAACACTTCCTGTTTTTCATTTTTCCCTTATTATGGCACTTTCTTTATGTTTTTTTTTTATTTTTCATCGATGTATGTTTGCAATACATACAATTTACATTCGTCTTAGAGAATTTACATATATATGTACACATCATACCTTGACCATTTTCTATCCCATTCCTCACCCACTGCTCTTTCCCTGCTCCTGTCTCCCATCTCTAAAAATCTGCCCTGCTTTCCTAACAGCTCTTCTTTATCTTGTCTCTAATTTATCTACAGTTTGAGTTTCACATCACTTCCTAGTTAGCCCAGCCTGGCGTATATATTTTCAAATTTTATTTGTTTTATATAATTCTTATTGTATTCCTTTCCTTATGAAGTCAAGACCCATATTTTTTGGTTTTATTTTACCTTTGATATTGCATTTTCTGAAGTGTGTTGTTCAGAATGCTAATCTCATTTGATATTACTCAGGAATGGGCACTATAATCAAATACATTTGGAAACCGCTACATGAATGTGCACATAAGGGGCTCGGTGTCCATTAGAGTAATACAATTTGTGAGAATTCTTGAAATAAAGGAACATAAAATTTTGCTTAATCAAGTATTTGCCACCATTTCAATTCTGGAAAATATCCTTTTCTTGTGCACCCAGAAGAGGTATTTAAAAGATTTCACAGTGAGTACTTTGGCTCGCTAGCCAGCCTGCTGTTCAGTGTCTTTGTTCATTCTCAGCCCACGATATCAGGATACTATAGCTCCTACAGTTGACCATACGGGCAGAACCTGAAGACCTGATAACTGTGATCTAGGGGTACAGATGGGCCTTGGACTGCTTTCCAAGGTGCACAGACACCCTGAGGTCACTGTTTAGCGCAGTAGGACATAGGCTGATTGCTTGGGCATTGACCAAACAGTACAGTTGCTGGTGCTGCTGCTGCTGCAGAGTCCTGTGAGGATCTGCGCTGTGCTAGCCTTTTATGCTTACTGGGCTGTGAGGAGACCTAGGAGGGCTCCCGCGGAGAGGCCATGATGCTGAGGCTGCAGGAGCTGCTGCTCAGACTCAGTTTGGTAGCTACCTGCCAACTGGTTTGCAAGTATGTAGTATTGTCATTCCTATGTCAGTGTACTAACATATGCCAGCCAGTTTTGCGTTCTACCCATGACACCTGCCAGCACTCTCATTCTAGTTGTGAAATACTCTTGCATAATTGCCAACCTACACTGTTTGGGTATGCAAATGTGTATTGCATTTTCTCTTTCTATCAGTTGCCCAGTAAATAGGCAGAATGTTTAGGTCTGTGGCTGTGCTGGAGCAGAAGGTTAAGTTGTGGTTCAGTTTTGGAGCTTTGTAAGATCAAGATACAAAGATGGTACAGAAACACAATGGTGTATACTTTGAAGGAACTGGGTCAGTGGACAAGTAATGTTATCGTGAAAGTGTCCCCTGCAAACTTTCTGGAAAAATAATTCTTCTGATGTAAATCTGAGCCACTCCATTATCATTTTGTTACACTGGGATTAGAGTTAAACACACACACAGGCATAAACACATACACAAATGAGGTGGATTTGCTGCAGAATCCTTACAGAGCAAGGATTAATGTATTAATGAAAAAATATCCATCGAATGCCTCAGTTATCATGTTAGTAGAAATTAGAAGCAATTGATTAGTACACCCTTACACTGGTTCCTACTACTCTAGCCTCTTTTGCTAATTATCCTGCTCGAAGAAATGAGCCTTTCTCTCATCTTGAAAGAGGTCCAACTATTTTTTTCCTATCACTAGGCAACATTTATTAATATAGCTGCATTAACTCATTTCATCCTCTTCCTACTACTCCATCCTGCTTGATTTTGCATCTGCTTGTTTATTCTTGAACTTGCAAATACTGTTCAGATAATGAATGCAAAAACAGTATCCAATAAAACAAGCTAGAAAATTTTGGAGACAAGAAAATTCTCATTACAAAAAGAACATACTCCCTGAAAAGCCTAGGGAAAGAATGTAAACCCCACCCCACCCGAAGGGAAAAAAAAGAATAGACTGAATAAGGAGAGAAAGCTCAGCTATTTCTTAGAAAGTAGCAGGAAATTATCTCACATTTGTTGTGAATTTGAGGAGAAAAGATGAGCATGGGAGCAGAATCTTAAGATATTTTGTGGTGATTCATGAATAAGATCTGTGAAAGAGTTCTGGGATGCTGTTCAATATCCTAGGCTATCAAGATAATGTTTGTATGACTGTGGTCATGCAGAAGCTGTTCCTCAACAGGGCCTGGTCCCTACCTTCTCTGTATACAAAGTAACTTCTGGTCTGTGAGGTGCTTTCTACTACCCCTTCCTAAACTCCTACCTATTGTCAAGGTTTGTAGTTCTTCCTAGAAATTTTGCATGATACCCATCCCTCAAAGATTGGGAATGACATAGAAGACCTTTAAAGCAGGGCTCCCAAGCCATGGATGGGTGCTGATCTCGGCCTGCTTAAGGACCAGGCCAGCAGCAGGAGGTGAGCTGCAGGCAGCTGAAGAATCATTGACCACTGCAGGTCCACTTCCTGTCAGATCAGTGGCTACAGTAGATTCTCGTTGGGCCAGACACCTACCGTGAACTCTATTTGAGATGTGAGGAATCTGGGTTGCCCATTACTTATGAAAATCTAATGGAATGGAGGGAAGGGGGGAGAGAAAAGAACTGAGGATGTGCTGTGTATGTGAACCAGTTCCCCACAGTGAGTGTAATGATCATGTACTGCAAACATATACTAGTGCAGATTTAAAATTTTAAAACATAGCAATAAATGAAAATAAAGAGCACAACAAATTGCTTTCCTTGCATCATCCCAGCCCCGCTGCCAGTGGAAAGATTGTCTTCCATAAGACAGGTGCCTCGTGCCGAAAACATGGGGCTGGTGCTTTCAAGCCCTAACATTTGGCATTTGTTATCTGTGTATACATTTTAGCATAAAGTGTCTGGAATTCTTGGCCAGAATAAATGTATCCTCCCAGGAATACTTTAACTTTACTCTCTCGCTGCAGCACCTGGCTGAGAACAGGCTTAGAATGGATGGCAGTTAGTTTATTAACAGAAACTTGCCCTTTGCACACATTGAAGCCTGTAGAGTTTGTAACTCTCATCAAATCAGAAGTGAACTGAAAGACTGCAATTTCTGTTTAAAGGAGCATTACTTTCTAAGTATTGATAATGCATACCTGTGTCACTGCATCCAGGAAATCCTCCTATTCGTCCGTATTTTCTCAAACTAAGCCATTAAGTACCAGGCAGGAAAGCCTGAGCTCCGTGAGCTGGCGCTGAGCACAGCGTCTGGGACATTTCAGGAGCTCTGCAGACATGGCTGATTGCATGAATTTCACTAGGGATCGCCTCTAGGAGAAAAGCAGGCTGGAAGGAAATTTTATATTGCCTGTATCTTCTCTTATTTTCAGTACAGTGGTACCTGAGTTCACAAATGCTTTTGTTTGCAGACAGTTTAGGTCACAAACAGCAGTGTGGCTAAACTTTGTGCTTTTTGCAAGCTCTGCACTGGAAATGAACAAGACCTTGGCCGTCTCCTTTGCCTGAACACAAGCGTGGCTGTCTCTTCCAGAACTGTGGAGTGAATTAAATTTGTGAACTGTGCTACCACTGTGCTAGGGTGCAAATTCAGGACCTATTGAGCAACAGCCTCAACCCCCTTTTTACAGTTTTATTTTGAGACAAGGTCTTAGTTGCCCAAGCTGGTGTCAAAATTGTGGTCCTCCTGCGTCACCCCCCAGAGTGGTTGAGTTTACAGACTTTCCCTGCTGTGCCTCGCTTCTTGTCTTTTCAGAGAGGGAGAGGGAGAGAGAGAGAGAGACAGAGACAGAAACAGAGACAAAGACAGAGACACCGAGACAGAGGCATAGATAGAGAGAGAGACAGAAAACTTAGGTAAAAATTTAAAAAAAAAAACCTAGAGCTTAGAACCAAAGTAACTGTTTCAGATTTTACCTGGCCCATTCATCAGCTATTTTCTTTGAACTGGTCCCTCAAGCACTTTCTTCATGCAGAAGATATTCGTGCCTATATAGGGCTCCGTGATGATCTAATACAATTAAACTCTGAAATACAAATTACACCTTCATGAAGATGATGATTACACCTTATGTAATTAATCTGAAGTAATAAGTTACTGACCAGCGGCTAGATAAAATAGAGAATCTACAAGGGGAGTATTGTCCTCCTAACCCTGCATTGCTTGAATCTGGAAAAGGCTATCAGTCAGGTTGTAAAATTTTACTTATTGTTAAGACATTTTCTTGCTCTTAAATAATGGGAAAAGATAGAATGACCTTGAGGGAACTAACCCATCCTATGTCCTATGACTCATGAATGAAAACACAATTTGTAGATAAATTAGAACCCGCTTTGCCACGGTGCCAAAGATAAAGCAGAAGTTTAGAGGTGTCATATCCCACTGAAAGCTCCCTCCTTCCTTTGGTCAATGCAAGGGACATCTTTGTCTGCTAATCTCTTTAAATGAATCGCATACTTTATGCAAAGTGCGTCCATTAAGGAGAAGTTGAGAGATGGAGTTTTAATTTTTACCAATCCAATTTAAATGCTAATGTCAACCACTCACATGATGCTACTGTGTACATAATTAAGCATCATTATACACTACATGAGTCATCTGGAAACCTCCCGAGAGCCGTTCTACTATGTAAAACATGCATTATACTGACGAGCACCAAATGATGTATACGTCTGCCCTCATTAAAGCTTCTTTTGAATTATAGGTCAACCGATTACGGGACAACTTATGAGAAGCTGAATGACAAAGTGGGTTTGAAGACAATTTTGAGCTACCTCTATGTGTGTCCTACCAATAAGCGTAAGGTAAGAAATGTGCATTCGGCGTGCTACTAATTCATGATGTGACGACTTCTGCTTGGCTGACTCACCTCTTTAGCTACCTAAAAATCCATTACTCTTAAACTGGGATTAGAGATGTGAAGATGAGCTGATGGGTGTAAGGTGGCGAAATGCCTGACAGGTTGTAATTTTCAGATCAGCAGCTGCGAACGCAGGAGGGCCAGGGGGTAGCTGCCTCATTACCATCTGAGAAAGGCAGCTACAGGAAATGAGTTCTCTTGAGTGGATGCTGCTGACTGTCTTGTAAAAGCTCTGACCAGTCAGTCACAAGAATTAGAGTCATTCTTGACAAGACAGAAGAAAGATGGGCTTGTACCAGATGTCTCTGTTTTCCCTGACTGGGAGTGAATAAATGAACTAGAATTTAATGAATACATTGTCCTGCAGCAGGTGGGTGTATTATTTCTAAAGTTTGTTCACGTTGCACAAACTGCCGGGATGAAAGCTCTGTGTCTGGCTCAAGAGTGGTGAGATTCACCTGTTTGCCTGCCCTGGTCCAGCTGTGTTGCTCTGGATTAGGGCTCAGGTACGTATTTTAAGAAAGATCCTCAGATGTCTCTGCTATGTAGCTAGGGTGAAGAACCATGACTGTAAAGCTCAATGTTCCCTCTGACTGTACACCTTTCAAATTCTTCAGCAGACACGACCGAACACCTGAGGACAGGCTCTGAATTTAGACGGCCTGCGTAAGAACCCAGCTAAGCCAATTACTAAATGATTAGTGTGGTGATGTACTTAATCTCTCCAAGCACGGTGCCGTCAAATTGAAAATGGGGATAATTATAGTACCTACCTCATGAGGGAAGTTATAAGGATTATATGAAATTAGACATTTCAATTGCTAAGCACAGAGCAGTAAAGACTTAATCGGGGTTTTCTCTTCATTTTATTCTCCCTTGCTATCACCCTGTCCCTCTTGCTTCACATAATTATTGGAAGTAATAGTAGTCATTATCCTCTATAAATAGAAGTGTCCAGTAGAACTTTCTGCATGGGTGAAAATGTTTCTCCAAGCTGTCAAATACTCTAGAAAATAATAATTTATGGCTGTTGAGTATTTCAAATACGACTTATGTGGCTGAGTAACTGAATTTTCATTTTTATTTACTTTTAATTAACTTGGATTCATGTGGATGATGGCCACAGTTTCAAACAGCATGGCTCAGTAGTGCCAACTTCATAAATTTTTAGCTGTACCCTGAATATCCCTATCATCCTCATATGGGTTGGATATTGGTCCATCACCAGTAATCATATCTAAACAATTTTGATCTGCTATATAGAATCTCAGAATGAAGAACTAAACTTACGTCATTTACATTTATAGTCAGATTAGTTATCTGTTGCCTTTAAATTAATTTTTGTAATTTCTATCGGTTTTTTTCATATAGTTCACATTTTTGATAAATTTAACTTAATCATCAAACCATGCTAGACAGTGTTTTTACACCATGGAATGAAGAGAGAAATAAGCCAGAATCTCACCCTCCAAGGTCATATGTCTCAGTAGTAAATCCAATATGACTTTTTGTAATGAAAAGATCTCTGAACTAAGATTCAAAAACCTACACCTCCCGATTGAATTCTTTTCCACTTTGTGTGAGTCATTTATATTTGTCAAGGGATAATGCTACATACAACACAGACATTTACAGCTCAAACAGAGTCCTAGGAATTGTTCTACCCTAGCTGTCATCTCTGTTTTATGGATGTGATTTAAGAATAACATGATTTTAACAAAAGATACGATGTCAGATATTGAATATGGTTATTGGTTTTTCTGTAGCTGTACAGTATACGCTGAGGATCCCAGGACCAAGACAGTTTGCAGGAGCAGAGTGAGAACTGAGGTCCGGGTGTAGCTCCTCAGACTGAAGTAGAGCTTGGAAGGGAGTAGAGCCAAGAGCCCTGCTGGGGGATCGCTCCTTTCAGTTCATCAACACGAATCACTCTGCATAGGCAACCTGTCCTTACGTGAAGGAGTTTTAAATGAGTGTTTGACCGTACCACTTAGGAGATCTGAATTGAGAGAGGAACAGTGAAGTCATTTTCCGTAACAGTGAGACTAGCTTTCTCTGGGCCTGTTACCTTCCAGAAGCAGAGATGCTCCTGAGCTGTTTAAATTCCAGTGTTTATGAGTGAATTTAAACCAAAGGATCTTTTCCTCTATACATAAATGAGACGATCAGGGTCACTTTCTGAGCTGCTGATAGGCTTAAGATATATTGGAGGACAATGAAGGTCTTTACAACAGTGCAAAAATCAATAAAGTTGGCAAAGCAGTATATTTGTGTACAGTTTTTCTAGTTATCAGTTGAATTTATCACCATGAAATATGCAGCTCCCCCCAAGGCACACATTTGAAGCAAGAGATAGTACCGGCACAACACTTTAAAATGTGAATATGTTCTCCCTCAGTCAGTAGGAGTTTATGTGAGGGCAAAAGAAGGAAGAATGATCGGGTTGCATTCATTGGGCAGGAGAAGGGCCCTGGAGTTTGCACCAATTTCCCTGTGAGTTTCCTACCTTCCAGTGGAAAGTGCAGGCTCCTTGAAAGGACCGCATTAGTTCTTTCAAATATCCAGGGTGCTTCTAGGAAGTCAGTGTCTCTGGTCCCAGGGTTTCCCCTTGCTTTTTGTACTGGTGGGCCCACCTGGAAGGAAAGTGACAATGCGCTGTAATTGTCTGCATTCCCAGAAATCCGTTCGTGTCCACATTCTTTTTGCTATATTTAGCTGTCTGTGAGGACAAGGGCAGTTCTTCAATCACCATGTCTTGTTGCAGTGGGCTTCATGCCCTGACTTGGCAGACAGCTCATTAAGAGCATTACTTAATCCAAGTCCAGAATGAAGCCGACTCTTCTTCACAATTTAAATTGATGATCACCCAGTGGCCGTTTCTGTGTGTGCATGCTGTTATTTCAGCTGTTTTCCTCTGTCAGGTTTGTTACCCTATAAACTGTCCTATCCTTTTAGTTCCCTTCGGGAAATCTTGACTGAGAAACCTAGAAAGCCTGCTGCTAGGTGTTGTCCGGGTCATTCATACTTTCTCACAGGTCTGTGCCCCTGGCTTCTGATATAGGAAGGTGTGTGTCCTTGTGCCAGAGCAGAGGGAGGCTGGCCATCTGCCACTGTGTCTTGGAGAACGCTTCCCTCCGCCACGTGAAGGCTTGTTTATGTCAGCAGAGGTTCGGTGGCCTCAGTCCAAGGGGTCTGCTGTCGGGCAGGGTAGGCTAACGTGAGCCTGAAAGGGAGAGCTGGGATGCTGGGATAAAGAGGTCTATGGGGAAACTGGTATAGATGTAGCAAAGAAAAACATCGATATGAAAACCTGAGTCTCACTGTTCAATTCTTTTTGAATTTGTATTCTGGCTGAAAAAGCGAACATCTTTTGGCTCTTCGTGTCTGTCAGCAGCACGCTTCTCACCTCGCCCAACCAGCCTTGGCTGAGCTGAGTTCTCCTCACACGATGCCCTGTAACATCTTCAAGGATTAAAGCAATAAAACCCATACAGAGTTCACTGGGGAGAGAAGAACATTGTGTGTGTGTGTGTGTGTGTGTGTGTGTGTGTGTGTGTATGCGCATGTGCATGTTTAACCCAGAGCAGCCAGTGCATGCAGATGCTGTATCCTCCCTGTCTTCATCTGTGCTCCCAGTGAAGAGAACAACCTGGACAGTATTTGTTCTTTACGTCCCTGTGCCCCTTTTCATCCCTGCTCCCTCTCATGTCTGTGTTATCACTCCTTAATTAATACCACTGCTGCTGAGAGTGTCTTTGAAGACTTTCATCCTATAAATAGGACCCTCGCTGCACGGAACACATTGATCATTCCTGCAGGTCCCCTGGTACCTGCCAGCATTAAACACTGTTTGCATTTTCTCCAGATGTTTAGGTTTTAATTACCATGCTGCATGTGACACTTTCTAAATAAGTGTTTGATTATGGACTCCCTGTCTCTTTTTATGCTGGGCATACTTACTTTTTTCCTGTCATTTGTCTGGGTGTTCCATAAACCATGTCTGTGACATTGGGGGACAGGAATGAGGTGGGTCTGCCACCTTCTCTTAGAAGAATGGTGGAATCATTAAATTATACTACGAAAGGAGATGGGGATGTTCAGGTTCCACTCCTTTGTTTAACATACTATATAGAACTGCATCCCTTGGGAGCTTTGTGGCTTGTCTGATTGCATGCAGCCGATGAGTGGAAAGCCAAGAGCATGAGGTGAAACTTTCATGCCACTATGGATGAGACTGTAGTTGTTTTTGACTACATCTAATCTCCCTGTTAGCGTGCAAGACCCTACATGAGAGAAAGTTCCATGATCAGCTGCATAGTCTTCCACCTGCTGAGCCTGGGATCGAGTGATGTGGTAGTGTCCAGCCTGTGGCTGAGTATTTGACATGAGTTGAGGTTGTGTCTTGGGCTTGCTGGTTGGTATTTGGAAAGGGAGGTGTCCTGTGAACCCAGCTTGGACTCACAAATGTTTTCTAGTTATAAAATTAATTCTTTCAAATGAACAAACGGTTTAAGAGTCTCCGTAGGTTTTAATCACTTCTGGGCCATAATGTATAACTTCATCTTTTCTAACTAAGGAGAACATGATTAATATTAAAGCACCAGGACTCTGCACTTGACACTGTGATCTGGTGAGCCCAAGGGGGACTGGTATTGTATAACACATCAAAGGGGTGTGTGACGTTTGTATGGCGGGCACACCTCACTTGCTCTTGTGCTCCTGGCTTTTATGTGTCCCTTCGTACACAACACCACAAGATCGTTTGCCTCTAATCTTTTAAAAAGAATACATGCTTCATTCATAAGAAGTGTCACACATGAACTCAGAGACATAGTGGAAGTGGCATTTTGCAAACTTCAATAAAAGCACTTTGTTTTAGCTGCGTAAATGCTCACTACCTTACTCTTCACCTCACTTAACCACAGCTAAGGGGCAAAAACACCT